CGTTTAGCAAAGTGTAACAAAGAGAGCAGAAACCGCAACGTATGGCTTAAATAAATACCAATAAAGGACGTTGGCTTTTTTTGTGCGTCCAAAAATCATAACCAAGTTAGAAACCCAGTTAAACTCGTGTAGGTAGATGTGCACGCGTTTATTTGTGTGCATAAAGTATATTTTCTCATACATAGCGGTGTGACACATAATTGACTGCAGCGTGGTCTAGAGTGGAAATGAGTCATGGTATTATTATGAAATGGAATGCGGTTTACATAAAGCAACAAACAAACACAACTCAACAAAAACAAAAAAAAAAAAAAAAAAAAAAAAAAAACTAGATATTTTAATAGACAAAAGGGTTAGTTGTGTGCTAACCTGAGGAGAAGTGGAGATGAAAGCTAACAATTCAATAACATGTTTGCGTTGATTATTTATGTAACTTAATGTTACAATGATTGTTGCAGCAAAACAACTTACTTTGATTTGAAATTATTTTCAGCTAACATTGAAATCTTAATTTACATGGGAACGTGTTTGGCACGAGCCCCCTTATATCTATGGAAACTTTGCACAAAAAACTAAAAAGTCAAACCGGTTTCAATACTAACTTGGCAAAGAGTTTTTTTTTTTTTTTTTACTGATTAATAAAAAAATATTTCATAAAAGAGCCCGCGCAACTGATATCTCTCATTTATATTTATCGATTTTGAATTTGTTGGGCACTTTTGGTACGGCATACATTCGGCAAAAAAACTTGTATGAATATGAATCATTCAACATTTGATTGGAATTTATATTCTTTTTTCCTTTTCTCTTTTCGGCACTTTTACAGTTTCTAGTAGAATATAATCGCAGATTATATATATTTATATCTGATTTGATTTAACAAAGTTATCTAAAAATTTCCTCTTCACTTCTAAGCCGCCAATCTGAGGAAGAAATGCTTTCGGTTTGTTAAGTACTTATGCCTTATGCAGTTTGCATTAGCGTGAACCAATCTATGGGGGCAATGTACGCCTTTTCGAGAAGGTCTTCATGGACGATTTTATAAATTATACCTCTAAAGACATTAGATTCTTCGCAAAAGTTCGAAGGGCGTCCGCCAATTACCTCTTGCGTTTGTGTGTTCTACTCCATGGTAATAGTGTTTGCAAGCGTTTTGCAACAATTTCTACATCGCCACACAACTATGAGCCCAAATTTATGCCAATGAAATTTGTCCTCTGCACGTACGACTTATGGTTGGGATAATCGCGGAAAACTTGATGAATTACGCGCTCCAAGACAGTAAAACACCCTCCCCAGGGGTACAAATTGACTTCAAAGGTCTGTCAGCAACGGTCTCTTATACTTATGAATTGTCATAATATCCGAAAATTTCTGCATCACCAACTGATAGTTCCAAATACTAAAGAATCTTATTCGAGTTTCCGAGAAATATGCCCCCCTCTGCAAATAACGTGGGATTTATTGCGGACTCAACTTCGAAAAGCTTCCATCAACTATCTATTGCAGCAATGTCTGAGCATTCGTCACGGCTTCTATATTTTACCACAGTTCCTTTATCACCAAGTGAACTTGCACTTCTCAGCAAATTTTAACTACGCATGATTAGGCATAACTCAGAAAATTGCAAATTTCCCAATGAGTATATTTTGCGCATATAACGTCAATAACTACGTGTGTTCCCGTTTCATGGCTTGTTTCGCATTGATGATCTGAAAAGAAAAACCGCAAACAAAAATTGTTCCGTAGAAACTCAAGTCACCAATATGAATATTCCTGGTATAGTAGACCGACCACTCTTAAAAAATATTGCGTGTGGAGAGCATCAAATGTCATAATATTGCGATAGAGAATTAATGAAACATTTGATTAAAAAAAAGGGCCGATGTAGGTTAATTATTCTTCTGAATATCTTTTATCCTCTTCAGCATATTTCCCTTCGATTAGAACACTTTATATGCTACGACTCTCTCTTCGAGATCCTTGTTAAAGCTGATTTGTGGAACGGCCTTTGTAACTTTTTCTTTTCGGCTTTTTGTATTCGGCTCAGACAAGCGCAATGTGTTCGGGTTGGTTTTTCCATTTTAGGGAAAAACAAGAACTCAGCGACTGCTTTATGAGAGAATTGGTAAAAAATGAAAAGGTTTCGAAAATCAACTCAAAGTGAATAGTTGCGATGCAGAACTCAATAGTTTAATATCCGTAATCCACGAGGCTTAAACCTCTAGTAGTAATTCTCTATAAAATCCTAGACGAAGGAGAAAGAAGTTCTTATTACACGGCCACTCGACAATGGAAAAAACTTTTTTTTATTTATTTTTTAGTCTCTATTGTAGAGTACTTTATGTTGTATTAATAAATTTTGGGATAGATTCTCATACCTCCTCGTCAATGTCTAGATTTTAAAGAGAGCTCAGCTAAAGACAGTTTAGAAAAAGTTCCAACATCATGAATCGTTGTGCATGTTTGCAGAGAGCCAGGCGATAGGGTATCCGTCGACTTATGATCTAACTCCTCGGATCTTAATTTATTAGATTATTATGTATGAGGCACATTTCGGGGACCAATAGAAATCTACAATGATTAACAAGAACAAAAACCATTTGATTTGATTATGTGGTCTTTCCTACTATTGACGCTAATGGAGATTTTAGTGATTAATTGCATACCTATGGAGTAGATTACCGCGTGCAACAATTTCATGAAATTATAAAAGATTTTGTAAAAAGTATAAAAATCATTTAGTTCTCAAGTTCATTGCGCGCCGTTTCTATTAAATACATCATTACATAATATTGTATATGAAATTTATGATATACGCCTAGAACTGCCAGGAAAATTCACAAGGACAAAGATAAGACGAAAAATTTGGAAAGGCAAGTGCCTTTATTTTTCAACGCAGCCTCAATTCAGTTCAATCCCCTTTCATTACCGATCTTCTATAGCATCGATCTCCTATTTACGTAGCGAACCGTCGAGTTCGTCAAAGTAGCCATCAACTGCAGAGTCCACTCTTCTTTACTGATGCCAGATTTTTTTTTGGGGAGTTTGAAAGGCGAAGATAGTTTAACATAGTCCGGTGAAAAGTTTCGCAGAAAAACCATTCGAACCGTGACGGTAACGGCTGTGTGAAGTAATGTATTATCTTAATGTTTGCTTTGACAGCTTGGCCAGCCTATGTCATCTAATAATTTATTGCTAATAAACGAGTCAGTGGACTCCTTTCAAGTAGAATTTATCTCCATTTTGATTTTTGTTGGAGTGAAACTTTTTAAGTAAGACTATCACGTATAACAACAATGCATTTTCTCCATCTCCTTATACGCACTGAAAAGGTCGATCATTGATGATCGCCAAATAAGTGGTAAGGTAAGCATAAAGAGTCTTCAAATTTCAATGTTAAGCTGTATATGGTTGTGATCTTAGCATATTTTTTGCCCAGCTCTGCGTCACGTCTAAAGCTTTGTGAACTATCATCGCACTATTAACACGATTGTGTACAATTTCCAATCTAACAACTCTTTTAACCTTGTTAAGTCACACAATATCGTAATCGTGTAAAAATTGTTTCTAACGAAATCAAAGCGACTTTAAATGTAAGCATTTATAAACCGAAACTGGGTGTGATAATGGAATAATTCGTTAAATATTTCGCTTTGAAAATACAATGCGATGTAACGCAATTTCAGCATGAAGAGCTTCGTAAACATTCTAATAGCTTAACACCTGTTTAATAATGTCACTAATGGCCTGAACTGCCTATAGTTACTACAAAGCAATAAAGATTTATGTATAAAAAAGCGTGGCTTCGTTCGCTGCTGTTAAAATGCACACATTTATAAGATTTAGGTCGAAATCCGAAAGCCTAAACGCAGACTTACTTAGCCAATTACTTACGCTCCTTAAGAGATATATTGTTAATATAACATCTGAGGTGAGCTACGCTTAGGATTACGTAAAGCGTTTGCGTCAAAATAGTTTCGCCTGATCAACTTAATGACAAGATTTGCAGCAATATGTTGTAACGTTCATTTAATGGGTTGCGGTAGCAGTGGATACAATACATTCGTCATACATATAACGAATATAGCGTTCGCAATAACAAGAATGTTTTATAACTTCGGCTATAGTTTGGGGTGACGGTGGGCCACGTGTTTGACAAATCAGTGTTGGTTGGTTCGAATGAAACGAATGAAAACCAGCAAACCACGCGCCAAAATGTTCTATACGAATACCAGACGAACATTGTAAAATGCAAGAAGTTGTAAGAGTTTTTCCGGTTTGACATGATCGCTATCGTTACATATGGATTTGAATTGGTGTTGGTAACTGGATAATAAATATTGGGTTTGATTAAAACTTAAACACGAATTAATTGAGTAACAAAACCATGCTCATCGTTTATTCAATGATAATATACATGATAATGATGATAATGATGGCACACAGATATAAACGCATACAGAGATACAGAATTGACTGACTATGGCTAACATTGAGACTTGAACTTGTTGTAGCCGTCATTGTTTGGCTGCTATTTCATTATTGTTATTGTTATTGTTGTTAGCATTTGTTGCTTTAATTCTTACCTTTTTCCATATACATGCATATATAGATATATATATATATATATATATAGATATATATATATATAGATATATATATATATAGGTATGTATTTTAGCCTAAAGTTAAGTTTTATTTTTTGTATGTTTGTTGTTTTTGTTAATGTGACGATGTATGAGACTTCTATCTATACGAACAAGTTGTTATTGTTGTTGGTAATGCTGCTGCTCGTGCCGCTGCTACTATTATGACGTCGCGTTGTATTTTTGTTGTTATTTGGTGGCGGTGGTGATGGTGTTGATTTTTTATGTTTTTTATTTTTTTTATTTTTTTATTTTAGTATTATTTTTTAGCTACGCTTTTGACTTTTGGCTGCAGCCAACAACGTTTACTTGCTTAGCACACGGCTGGCTGGCATTAGTTAATTTAGTTTAGTTAGTGACGAGATTTCAAGCGTTAAACTCGTGTGCTTTCCCATAAGCTAACCGTAAAGAAATATTGAACATAAAATTTGCTTTGAACATACTTTTACATATATACAAAACATATATCTATATATCAAATAAAAACTATATAAAAATTGAAACGTCTTATAAGTCAAACGGGAAAACATTTGAAAAAAGTTGAGATTTAGTGCTAATATTCAAGTTACTGAGTTACAAAACCAAGATTTGAACATTTTTTTTTTTTTTTGTGTTTTATTTAATTTTCGTGCGTGCATGCGTGTGCATAGTTAGAGTGCAAAAACAGATACATATATACATGTAGATAAATGTACGCCTAATCCAACTTCAATTGGTACTCTCTCTGTACGTGTGAGTGTTTTATGATTTCTTTTTCTTCGTTTGAATTATTGTTAGTTTTGTTGTTGTTGCTATTTTCTTTGCATTTTATTTTATACGATTAAGCACACGCTCGCTAACAATTGTAATTTTGTTTCTTCTTTTTTTTTTTTGTTTTATATATGTTTTGCTAAATAAATTTTGTTTTTTTTTGTTTCTTTTCTTCATTCAACTCATAATTCCATGGAGAGCGAAAAAATTCATAGCTTAACAACAGACAGAAAAACAAAACATAAAAAATAATACATAAAAAAAAAAAAAAAAAAGTTAAATTTATTTAAATAAAAAAAAAAAAAAAAAAACAACATATTCATACAATAACGAACCTGCAGTGAATTTAAAATCGCAACAAAATAAATAAAAGAAAAAAAAAACATTCAAAAAGAGTAAGTTAAGAAAATTTGTAATTTTTTTAAATCCCAGCTTCATTATACGAATAAATGGTTTTTTAATTTACTCTACTAAAGCTGCTAAAAAGTATTTCAAGTAAACAAACAGAATAATAACCGAATTATTCTTCTTCTTCTTCTTCAAAAGAAAAAAAAAACAAAAAAAAACATTTTTATTTATTTGTTTATTTACTCGTGGTTACCAAGTGAAACGTCATTAAACAAACAAAAAAAAAAAAAAAAAAAAAACACACACACATAAAACAATACATTGAAGCTGTTTGTTTAAATTGGTTTTCGCTCACTTTACAAAAAAAAAACAAAATAAAACAAAATAAAAAAAATAATAAAAAAATACAAAATAAATAAAACAAAAACGCGCTTATTTAAAAATTGTGTCAAAATCATTTTCTACTCATAAAAATCCGTTAAATTGAAAATTGTTGTAATTGAAAGAAAACAGCATTCACACATATGTACGTACGTCCACCCACACTTGCAAGCATAAATATACACATACACGCATAAACATACAAATTCGTAAGCATAAATCCGCGAATATATGCAGACTACGTTTTACATAGACATTGATAGTAAGTTTGTCAGATCGTATTGACTAAATTAGCCGAAAACGCGGCGCGTTAATTAATAAACCACAGAGCAAGAGCGTGCGTGTATGCAGTTCATTTATTTATTTAGAAAGTCATCTTCTATTTTATATCATTTCGTTTCATTTGTAGCCGGCTTTAGCTTTATTTAAAGATTGCAAAAATAAAAATCAAACCGAGTCTCATCATCGTATTCGTCATTTGTGCAGGTAAGTTGAACTCACATTACATTTGTATAGCTTTCACAAACGTTTTTTAACCAATTGGTATTAAAGAAAAACATATATAAGTGCCGTAGGGCGAATCGTTGATTTTCACCACCATAAGCCAAAGCATTGGAATTGTGAGACATTTCCTTAAATTGTAAACATTCTGTGTCCAGTTAAAGGATCGGAATCAATTTTTACATTGCTCTTTGGTAGTAGTTCCACGAAATTTTAGATTTATTTCTTATATGGTAATGGACTACATATCATTTTTGTGTTAAGTTCTACATCTTCTTTCAGATCCAGATGATCTGCCTTACAAAAGCTTTTCAATATTTGATTTATACTTCTTTGGCTATTAACCCCTTAACATTTTCTATTTCTCTCTTATTATATTCAAAAGCACACAAGTTTTTGATAAATAAGTTCCTATTCAAATTAATTGCACAAACTCTAAATGACATAAAAAGCAACAAGATGACTAAAACAATGATAAGGCGTAGGCAAATAAGAGACTAGAACCGCGTGGAGGAAAATCAAGCAGGTAATCTTTCGAAGTACCCGATCGATGTTTTCTGAACACTATTCAAAGGTTAACCGTGAGACGCTTAGGTGATCACCTAACATTATGTACATTAAGTGGGCTCCTATCACAAATGACAGCACAGACAGTCGGACTAACGGACAGCTTTTATCAAACGTAAACACCATATATATTAAATGCATTAGGTTGAATGAGAAGTGCGGATCTAAGTGTGGAATTTTACTGAATTTTTTTTGGATGGAAAAATTAATAAAATTCCGACCCTTTGGTACATTGGTCAACTATATCTTTGAGATATCAATACGTACTCATTGTCGCCTCTTTATCGCGTCTGATCAGGAATATCTGTTTAAGCAACGTTCACAATCGATCCACTTGCGGTCCCGGAAATCATCATATTCGGTGTCAAGCTTTCTCAAAATCGATCTAAAGTCATTAACTGTTTCTGACTTCTGACTTCTACTTATCAATTGCAATTTGGGCACCCAGTTTGCCCTTATATCCATTTGCTACCGCCGTTCGTAGCGAGCTCTTACACAAAAATACAAAACAGATAAACAAAGTTATTTGGGGAAACTATGGTTTATTTGAAATCTTCCCCGCTGCGAGATGCTTTACAAGTAGTTGTAATTCACCTTATAGATGCGATCCGCATCAAGTTGATCCTTATCGTTGAAACATATTTGACCGAACACAAGAAAACAATATTTTCTGAATAAATTAATCAGCGATAATGTAGACAACCTCTTGTCGCTGTGTTAAAGAAAAGCAAGGCCTCTTAAAGCAACTTTCCTGGTCAGACTAGGCAATATCCTCAACTTGCCCAGTAGTATGCGGAATAAAAATTTCAAAACATATAGTCTTGATGAGCATGTTATACTAATGTCCGTCCGTCAAACTGGTCTTCTATAGGTTATTAACTATTCCTCGATGGACTTAGTTTAATTGCACAACACATAAACCGGGAAGGAGTGGATTGTAAATGCTAAAGGATAACACTCGATGTCAACATGTCTTTGATATTTGTTAACCCAATTAAACTAAAAACAGAAAAGCTCCACCCGCCGCTTATGCGGCATGCATTGGAACGTAATTAGAAGTGAAAATGATCGCAGAAATGAAAAGCTATAGAAAGTAAAAGCCTACCCTCAAATACTTTCCCGCAAAGTCGCAAACATTCGTAGTTATGTTAGAACAAATAATTAGAGCGAAGGCGACAATCATCAGAAAGGAGTCTTTAATAAAGTTTTATAGTTAACAGTAATATCCATTGAAATGAGTAGCGTTCTTCACCACTATCATCTTAGCCATGAAATACCCAACTATATATATATATTCGTAAGGCTGCAAGTTAATCTTGTTTCACGTGGCATCGCACTACATTATTAGGTGGGCTATGTCCAGTAATTTTATTGGATTCTGAACTAATTTTTCGGCGGATTTGTAAGCACCTATTTACCTAGTTTGTCAGACCGCCATTGAAATATGAATCCATTGCTTACTTACTAGTATTATATCGCTGAATAATATCGGTATAAAAGCAGTTTTTCATATTTTTTCCTCGAGGCTTATATAGGGACAATTCAATAAGTCTGTCGCTTTACGAGCACAAGCTGATATTTAGAGAGTAACTATCCTACTACTCTACTGTCCTTGCAAACAAGAAGCAACGTCTTTATCTTCAAATTGTTGAAGGTTTAGTTGAATTGCTCATTGTCGCTTGGTCAAATAGTCCCTTATAGACGCATTAGAAATGATCCCATTAAACTATCATATTGTCGCAAAAGTTACGACTTTCGAAGGTTAAACACTTTATCGATAATTGGATCAATAATTAAACTCAATTGCTAAAAAATGAAGTGTAACTTATTCCCACTGTAGGAACAGTAAGTGCACTTAGAGATTAGCGAAGGCTACTACTGACTTAGAGACTTTATTTGTGATAATTAATTTCAACCTTTAAAAATTGTTTGATCCTTTTTTACTGGTTAAGCTACTTAACTACAGGCAGCTGCAGCTAAGCTATAAAGTAAGTAAAAATAAATCTCTCCTATGGTGTGGGTAATACTTCAGCGTGCTTACAACTTAGCTCCAATTAGGTTTATCACATGATCCTCAATTTTTGACCGCACTATATTTCCCCATAGAATTTCAATACCTATGGATGAAATATAAACAGAGTCCTATTACCATGCTCTCAGTCATCAGCTATCATTCCTTTCTTAAGATCTCCATACTGCTCTGACTATTTTGAAATGAAGTCGTCTCTCAAAAGGAAATCTTCTTCCGCTATACGCTTTAATATTTTTGTGGAGAACTCATCGCCATGAAATCGAAATGACAATGACATTTTCTTTGCTTTACCTCGCAGAGGGATAGAATGCATTAACTTGAAATTTGAAATGCAATTACTTTGCTTTCAGCGACTACTGTCCTCAACTTAGTCATAGTAGGTTTTTTAAAAATTTATATTTTTATTGATTATATATATATATATAAATTATTAATTGTGCAATGCACGGTGATTTATAAGCTAAAGCTATTTTTTCTAAAGGTCTTATCTCTTTACATAATCTGAACGTGGAATTATTAAAATGAATGAAACTATTCGCTACGCACTTGAAACATTACCATATGTATAAATTCCTTATTCGTCAAGGTTCACTCTTAATATTCTATGTAAATGCATTAATTAATGCTTTCAAAGAAATTATAATAATAATGCAAAGACAAAAAAAAAAAAAATTCCCTTTTTATTTTTCCTGCTGGTTAAGGAAACGCTTTTTATGGAATTTTGCACTACACTTTATTAGGGCTTCATTGCAAGCCCATCAATCGTTTCCTTTCCATTTCCTACACACAGAATTGCCGGCTGAATGTGGGAGTGCATAAGTCACAGGCATATGTTTATTTATGAATATTTTAAAAATTCGAATTCGAAAATTTTCAATCAAAATACATGCCTCTAAGCTTATGATCCAGTCTTCACCTATCATTGGTGTAATAGATATTTCTTGATAATAAATGAATATCCGAAACTGAATAAATATTACGCACATTTACCTTAGAATAGTTGAAAAAAAATTGCAAAAAGAAAAAAAAAAGGAAAAAAAGAGAAAAAAACACAATCGCTTGCCTCGGAACAATTTATTATATACAATGCAGACAAGCAGGCGAAGCATTGACGGGCAGTACTCAAACCTTAAATACGTAGAGAATAATAAATTAACAGCCACTTAAGCACATAACGAGCAGATGTTATGAACAATATCGACTTAGTATTAATAAACGTCGTTAATATATTGCTTGTTTGAGTCGGTTTTTTTTTTTTTCTTACTCTTTTTTCTTGCAAATAAATCAAAAAAAGGTGTTAATGCATAACTAAGCGCATAACTAATTATAATTAAGTGAAAAAGAAGAAAACAAAAATCGACAAAAATTCTTTTACGAATTCTTCGCTTGAGAAGCTTTTATATAACAGACAATAAAATTTTCGAAGGTCTTTCAAAAAATTTTTTTTGCTATTTAATAATGCAACCTGTAACATGTACTGCATGATAACATCTATTTTATTAAAACTGTAGCGGAGTGAATAATTATTTTATCACTCCATTTGTAACTTTCGAAGCTAAAACCCGATACCCCATTCTAAACCTCTTCAGCTATGCCTGTATACATTTATACCCCACCGCAGCCAACATGCCCAATAAGTTTGTATGTAGAAGAGTTTAAGAGAGATCAACCTTTCATTATACCGATTCATTAAATGATTCCGAATGTCTATCCCTTTGACGTGTGTTTATGTGTCTTTCACAATTTTTGAGTGCAGGTCACAATTTTTGAGATGTTTTGATGAAATTTGGTACACCGACATGCTTCAACACAACCTTCAGATACAAAACTATTTATAATTGTACTAGTGTTCTAGTGTTGGCTCCTGACAATCATGGCGGGCGATCAAGCTAAATTATGGCTTTTAATTTCTAATTGAGCTATTTGTTTGTAACGTAGGGTGGAAAAAAATCAATAGGAAAAATTATTTAAACGAAAGGGTCAACAGTCTCACACAACAGCTAGAGCTTATTTCACTTTTACTCCTAGAATTTACTTGTTTGGCCCAAGCAAGTGATGACTAACAACAAAATTTCATTATTAAAACGATAAGAAGAAGCTTTTAAAATTGATATGCCAGATGGACAAACAGGACAAAATCTAAACTGCCTTCCGAATTTTTGGAATTTTCTCTCTCAAAATATTTTGCCATATAGAGCCATAACATAAAATACGACGCGATCACTTGTCTAACTGAAATAAACATGTTAGCTTTCGCGTAGTACGGTCGGAAAGAAGATTGTATAATATTTTCGTGGAAATTTTAAGCGATCATGGATTACATCAATAATTTCCTAATTACTATAAAACTTTCTTTACAACGTAGAACAATCGATAGTTGATTGTG